TTCCATCTCTGTTAGCTTTGACATTATGAATGTTCTAAATTCCTTATCAGACATTTCCATGATTTTCACTGAACTGCTTGTGGAAGAAGAAGAGTTACTCTTTTCCCTTGGAGGAGAGGTATTTTCTTGTTTTCCCATATTTCTTGTGATCTGGCGGTGATTTCTTGTCATCTGATGGATGGTGTGTTTCTTTCAAATTCTTGAAATTCAGTCTGAATGTTCAGGAGCAAGCAGACAGAGGTGAACTAGAATCTTGTTACCGTTCTGTTGTGATCACTGTTGCAGCAGATTCAGTAGATATTGAGAAATATTTTAACCCTATTAGTATTTAGATGTTTAGCTACAGTGCTCTTAGATCCTTTTAGTTCACAGGAGCCATGTGGAACCTTCTTCTGAAGGCCTGGCTGTTTCTGCCGCTAGCTTGTTTGCTGGAGGCTCAATTATCAGTAGAAAGTCTTCATTTCTCTTGTGCCCTGTGATACCTAGTTCACAGGAGCCATGTGGAACCTTCCAGACATCTATTTTTAAAAGTGATTAATTTTTGGCACCAGCAAGTGGTGTAATGGTTACATCACTGGACTCCACATAGCCTATTACAGTCTGAATCCCAGATCTGGTAGCTTAAAATTCATGCCAGGCACATGTGCATGTGTGCCCAATGTCCCAGGAGAAGAATGGAGAAGGGATTGCAGCATGGCCATCCCTCCAGGAGGTGATTTCTTACTTTCTGTCTCTCTGTCTCTCTGGTAAATGCACATGTCCTATACCAAAAAGTATCTCAAAAAGGAAAAAAGTGATTGGTTTCATGTATAAACTATTTATAGTACTTTTGAATGGTAGCTCTGAGAACCATGTATTTAGCAGCTGCCAGCAAGTTAGGGTAGCATCACCGGGGTTTCCCCTCTCAAATGGATGAAGCAGTGTATGCATGTTATAGTGTTTGTGAGTGTTTGGCATGAGGTATGTTTGAGATCATTTCCCCTCCTTTTGACAAATGAAGAAAAATTTGCAGATAAAAGTTGAGTACATACCGAAAGCACTTTAGGAACCCCAAGTTTCTCTGTGGAGTGGTCATTCAGGACTAGGAGCATAAGTCAGGATTTGCAGGTATTTATGTTAATGACGAAGGAAGGTGGGGGAGGAGAGACTTCCCTGAATAATGACTAATTATATTGATTGTATTAAATTCTGTCTCTTTCTGTTTGAATGTTGTCAGGTCTTTGTGATATAATATTATTATTCAGCATTGGCCCTTTGAATGGTGGTTAAAGGAGTTGAACAACCATGTGGTTCAAATCTCCACTCTGGCAGCTTGTAAAACACACTGGGCATATGTGTGTGTGTGCCCCAAATTCCAGGAGGGTGGAGAAATGGAGAAGGGATTGCAGCAAGACCGTGGTCTGTTGAGGGGTACTTTCTTCCCCTCTCTCTATCTTCCTGTTTCTCACTGGCAAGTGCATGTGCCCTCTAGGAAAAAATTTTTAAAATTACTATTAGCGGTAATAAAGATATGTTTTGGAATCAGCAGTTAGCACGGTGGTTAAGGCACTGGATTCCCACATGATTGGCTGGGATTTGAGCTTTGGACCCATCAGCTTAATAATCACACCGGGTGTGTGTGCGTGCATGCCCAGAATCCTGAGAGGAGAAGGGATTGAGATATGGTTATACCCCTCGGGGAATGATGTATCATTTTCCCTTTCTCTTTCTTTGTCTCTCTCTGGTGAGTGCGTGCCCCTATTGGGTAAGAAATATAATATATACGTATACACACACACACACATACATATGTGTGTGTGTGTATATATATGTATATGTATATGTATATATATGTGTGTGTGTGTGTGTGTGTGTATATCTATATATGTATATATATGTAACCATGAGACAGTTTATAGTTAGTAATTTATAAACAATGGGCACCTACATCTACTGTTTTAAGAAGTAGAAAGGGAAGGAACTACCCCTATTATATAGCTAAAGACACACTTATGAAGGTTCAGTGGCTTGCTCAAAGTCATTAGTTTGACAGTGTGGACTTGGGCTGGCACCTTCACGGTTCTTCCCTCCTCGCCACTGCTGTGCTTCTCCATTACTGTGTAGTTGTAAAGATCATGCTCGCTGCGGGTCCTGAGTGTTCGCTGTGCCCGGTTCGATGCAGAGCCTCTTCCTTTCATTTCCCATTTACTCCTTATAATGGCCTCTGAGGTCTGAATGAAGAGCAATTTGTTAGTTCAACTTCAAAAAGGAAAATTTTCTTTATTGGGAAACTTACATACAGAGAAAGATTTTTGGAGTTACATTTTTCCCCTGAAAGGTAAATTTACTTTTGAGGTGAATTTGAGTAAAGTTACCCCAATGCTATCTTCCATCCATGACCATCTTTTTTATTACTAACGATAAGCAGTGCATTTTGGAAAATAATCTGTTTATTATTACTCTTGAAATGAAAAAGCATGGTCTTTGAAAGCCAAACAGAGCAAACAGAGATATAGTCAATTTGGGGGCAAGCATATGTGATTTTTTTTTCTCTCAGAAGAGTGTTCTTCGTTCTATTGCTGTTGGATTTTATTATCCATTTGAAAGCTAAGGCTCTTTAGTAAACTACTGCAAGATGTTCATCATTGAATTTATTAGGGAGATTCCTTAGCATCAAGAATAATAATCAAGAGGATCTTTAATGAATTCATTCAGAAGACATGAACAAAGATACCTTTTTTAGATAAGTCAATATAAAAATAGAGAATAGTATATGCTTTCCTAACCTTTGATTAAATAACTCAGCCTAGGGTTTCCATCACTTCATCCCTCTACCCATTAAAGGAAAGTGTCAATATAATTTCATATGTGCTTGTTACAAAGTTGTTAGCCTGTTTAAATAGAGTAACCAGGGCATATATGTATAGATACAGTCACTCATTTGTTTCACAAAGATTTTAATAAGTTCCTTCTAAATGCCAGGTCTTAGGCTAGATGTTTAGAATATGATGATGAACACGACAAGCAAGGTCCTTATTCTTCTAGAGGTAAAAGGCCAGGGATGCAGACAGGTATTATACAGATTATCACCAGCCTAGCCATGGTGCTGGGCACCATTAAGTCATTGTGCTCCATAGGCTGGGAGCAGATGGGAGGTCTAGGTTTGATGACTGGTCCAACTTGGAGACTGGATGCTGCAGCATGTGCCTTTAATCCCAGCAACTTGGGATGCTGAAGGATATGTGTTGAAGGCCAGCTTAGGGAACAGAGCAAGACTCTGCCTGAGAGAGTCAAGTGTGGTGGAGCTGGGAGGCTGAGGCAGAAGGATATTGACATTGTGAGACTCTGTCTTATTTTTACTTATTTACTTGTTTGTTTATATTTTTGTGGGGAGGACATTAAACCTTTTTTAATGTTGAAATTTAAAAATTTTATTTTATATATCTAATCACTTTACATTACTACAACTTGTAAAGTGAATTTATCCAACATGAATACTCTTCACACTAGTCCAGTTGAAGATGCTATACACATTATCATCAACAGATAATCATCCATTTCTATTTTCCATGAATGTCTTGCCTCTCTATTTTTCTCTTTGATTCCCTTCCTCTCAAGCTCCCCTTTCTCTCGCCCTCTTTCCACACTGTCTCCAGTATCCATAACCATTTTTCATGCTTCCATATACACTAATCTTTCAGCTTCTACCATAGAGTATGAACAGTCAGTATATGTTGAGTGGAGACATAGAATGTCTCTCTTTCATAGTCTGGCTTGCTTCACTTAACAGTAAATCTTCCATATTCATCCACTTCCTATCAAATGCCAGGGTCTTGTTTTTTTATGGCTGAGTAGTATTGCATAGAGTATATGTACTGCACTTTTTCAATCCATTCATCTGTTCGTGGACATTTGGATTGGTTCCACGTCTTAGCAATTGTGAATAATGCTGGGATAAACAGATGTGCAAGCACCTTTCTGACTGTGTGTTTCCTATTCTTTGGGTAGATACCCAAGAGTGGAATTGCTGGATCATATGGTAGTTCTATTTGCAGATCTTTGAGGAACCTCCATATTGTTTTCCACAGTGGCTGGACTAATTTACATTCCCACCAACAGTGTAGGAGAGTTCCTTTTCACCACAGCCTTGCCAGCACTTACCATTTTTTTTTGAGACCCTGCTTTTAAAACAAAAAAACAAAACAAGATGATCATCAAGATAATTGGTTGAAAGTTAGGTGTGTTCTATAAACAAACAGGGTGCTGAAAGACAGTGAATCAGAGAAGCCCCAAAATTAGCTTGAGTGGTCAAGGATGGCTTCCTTAAGAAATCCACATGGAGCCTGAAGGAAGAGTTAGCCAAGCTAAGGGATGTGGGACAGCGCATACTGGGCAGGCAGAAGAGAGGTTACTTGAGGGCATCGGATGGTGCGGAATGTGTGCTGGTGAAAATGGAATGGAGTGGCAACCCACCCCATGAGGCCAGAGAATTCTAGGAAAAGCACTGGAAGCCGTGGAAGGTTCTGGCAGAGCGGTGACTAGAAAAGATCACTGTGGCTGAAGCGTTTGATAAAGAAACGTAGCAACGAGAGTATTCACAGGCCAGATTTGACAAATAACCTTGCAGCACATACCAGGTTGTGTCTGTGAACTCAGAACAAATGTCCTTCATTCCCATCGAGAAGACTGAATTTTACAATTTTTGCATTGTCTTTAAAATGCAGAGAGCCAGTGTGATCCCATGTTGCTTTCCTTTCCTTTCTACTTGGAGCTTTGTTTTCATGAGTGAGAAGAAAATGTTTTGTGAAGTTGAAACCTGGCATTGATTGAATGGTTATGGAGTTTCAAATTTAATTCAAACTGTTTGAAATGCAGCTGCTGCTTATTGTAAGCTCAGAGAAACTTCCTGGGTGGCGGAAGTTGAGGGAGGAGGAATGCTTTGTAATCACCAAGTAATCTGAAATAAAAATAACTCTGAGACAGTAAGTGTAAATGTATCAGACCACAAAAAACAGAATTCCTCCAGAATGTGTGTGAATTTATTGAAGGATATTCCGTTTATTTTTGTGAATAGTGCTTTATTACATTTATATTTTGTCTGTCTAGAAACAAGAGAGAGTTTTGAGTCCCAAACCCAAACCATATTCTCCCATTCCTACCTAAAATGTCTCTCGTGTGGGGCATTTCTTGAAAGATGGTTCATATGGGGAAAGTTAAAAGATGCAGACCGCCTGGCCGAATTCCATGGCTATTGTTTCATGTGTCTGGAAGATTGAAAATGCCTGTCATAATGACTATGAGCTATGGGTTACTAGTTGGGCAATTTGTCCTTTCTTTCTTTTTCTTGAAAAACGTGCACCTTTTTTTTTGTTTTTTGAACTCTGCTTAGGTATTCCCTGTAAACGATGAGCCACCCGTCCTAAAGGCTGACCTCATCCCCACGATGCATTGCGCAGAGGGTGGAGAGGTGGTCATCACCTCCAAATACATTTTTGCTACTGATGTGGACAGTGACGATTTGAAACTGATGTTTGTGATTGCTCGAGAACCTCAGCATGGGGTGGTGAGGAGAGCTGGAGTCACGGTGGACCAATTCTCCCAGGGGGATGTTATAACAGGGGCTGTGACATATCAGCACACGGGTAAGTGATGGCATCGCAACTAGCAAGGGGTTCCAAGCCATGGGAGAGCCTTTGTTCCACTCTACTGAGGGCTCTGATAGTCTGCCAGTCTCAATGCTTGCTTCCATTAAAAACAAACAAAAAGAAGCAGCAGCGGCAGCCTGTATTCCATTTTTCAAGTCTGATTACGGTACAGAAGTATTTCTGATCTCAGGACTTCCCAACAGTGGCGAAAAGGGAGGTGTTACTTGCTGCTGTGTTCTTGATGCTACTGCGTAGCCCTTCTTTTGGTCAATTTGAAGACTTATTTGACTGTCCTAGCTTATGGACCGATAAATCATAATAGAAATACCTGAAGTAAGTATCCTAAGTAATTATATTATTAACTAAAATAATTTACTGATTACCACTTAGCTCTTCAGAAGTAACTTGTGTGTGTTTTGAGGTCCTGAAAAACAAAGATGAAGACTCACAGATTGTATGACTTGCCCACAGCCCACGACAGTTGAGCACAGATTAACTATACAGCAAACGCTTGTCTTTAGCACGGTACTTATATTGCTGACTTTGTATTATATTGTCCCTCGTGTGACATGCTCAGAGAATGTTAATTCAGCTTCTGGTGGGGACAGCAGATGGTGTGGTGGTTAAAGGCACTGGATTCCTACATGGCCCACTGTGGTTTGAGTCCCGGACCTGGTGGCTTGCTTTCTTCTTTCCCTTTCTCTGGTTAAATTAAAAAATAATAATAATTGGGACCAGCAATTGGCATAATGGCTATGTTGCTGGACTCCCATGTAGTCAACCATGGTTCGAGTCCCGGACCCGGTGGTTTAAACTCATGCCAGGCACGTGTGCATCTGTGCCCAAGATCCTGAGAGGAGAATGGAAGAGAAGGGATTGTAGCAATGCCTTCCACCTTTGGGGGTGATTTCTTGCTTTTTGTCTCTCTCTTTCTGGTGAGCACACATGCCCTATAGCAAAAACCTTTCCAATAATAATAATAATAATAATAATAACAACAACAACAACAACAATGGAATTAAATAAATAAATAATCCTTTAAAGAAAATCCAGCATCTGACATCTGTAAGGCACAGGATTAGGTAGTGTGGGGCTACAGTGGATTGTAATCCAGAACTTTGTTTGAAGGCTTTTTACTCGAATGGGCTCACAGACCCATCACATACTAGGAGGATGTAAAACATCTGCACGTCAGCGTGCCATCTCCACTTGCACACCTGAGGTCTGGGTGGGGAACACTTCCTCAGGTATCATACCTTCTACTTCCTCTTCCTGGCTTTGATCGCACTGTGTTACTATTTTCTGTTTACTCATCCATATGTCTCGTTAACTGAAAGTTCCATAAAGGACCGCGATTGAGTGTGTAAGGAAATAAGAGCTATCAGAATTCCAGCCATTTTCATTTTGGAAGATGCATAGAGAATTCAAGTGGAGAAGTGAGGAGAGAATTCAAGAAAGAGGGATGAAAATAGTTTAAGATTAATTTGAAAAAACGCTTTGAAACAAGATTTTTTTTAAGTGTAGCTTGGGAAAAAATGATTTATTAGAATGTCGGTTGTCTTATGGCTGACTAGTTTAATAGGTGACATTTTAATCAGTCTTTTAGACTTCTTTTTTTTTTTTTTTTCACTTGTGTCTCCCTATTCTCTTATTTGTTTTTAGTCTTAGGAAAGTTTTCATTGGTTATTTCTTTGTCTTGGGAAGCATAGTTTACTGGCTTGATGTCTCTCAATGTCTCTTGAGAGATTAGAGCTAGATAATTCTTTTGATTTCCCCAAAAGATTTCAAAAAAATCAGCAGGAAACAGGAAAGGGCTACAAAGACCAATGAGTATTGTCTATACATAATTTTGCCATCCTTGGCAGGCTTGGGCAGCACAGGTAAATTAGGGGTGAGATGAATCTGTCTTCTCTTTGGTGCCAAACAACAGGTATATTAATTTCTAAATCCCTTCAAGTGTGTTGGCTGTGTAAGGGAATGTTAGCCAGTATTTTTTCATAAGACGTAGTAGAACATTGGGGAAAATTACTTTATATAGAGTTTTAGTTATTTTACTAAATTAGAAAAAATATTGGATTTAAAGAATATTTTGATATTTAAACAATTTTTTTGCAACAGTCATTCTTAGTTGGTGGTTATTTAGCATTTCTGGGATAAATATAAAGAATTACAGTGTTGTCAGATCTGAAGTTCCAGTGAATTATCTGGCCTGCTCTTGTGTTGAGTATAAAGGCCAGTCAAGAATAATTTCATCAGCATTACTTTATTTGCTTTCTGTAATTATAAAAATAATACTTGCCAATGTATCAAACTTGGAAAGAATGGGACAGTGTAATTAAGTTTTGAAAAATCACTTTATTACACATCTCAAAAGATAGTCACTGTTAATATAGCATCTTATTTGTTCTAATCGTGATTTTTTGATATGGTTGCAATTGTGTTGTACATGCAATTTTGCAGATGACTTTTTCACTTATATTATTTTCTAAAATGTTTATTGAAATATCTATGAAATACTGTGAAGTTATAAATACAAGCTTACTAAGTGAATTTTTTTTTCCCATAGGGTGTGTGTACTCGCTGGAGACAGAGAGAGGAAAAGTGAGAAATCACTCCCAAGGAAAATGGCTGTACCACAGTCCCTTCTCTTTGATTTTCCTCTTGGGATTTTGGATGAACACAAAATTTTCAAGCTGCTAAATCCAGGACTTGAATTATGATCAGCCATGTGCGAATCTAGAGTCTTAATTACCACGCTACCTGCTGGCCCCCCAAATTTTTCTTTTAAATAACATTATGATTAACATTTTGTTGTTGTTACTAGAGGGTGCATGCACTCACCAAAGAGAAAGAGAGACAACCCCACTGGGGCATAGTCATGCCACAATCCTTTGTCCTCCATCTCTCCTTCCTGTCAGGATTTTGGGCACATACGTGAATGTATTTTTTAGGTCACCAGGGCCAGATCTGAATTGCAGTCGGCCATGGGGGATCTGGCTCTCTTGCTGTGCTACTGTCTGGCCCAGTATTTTAAAGTGTAAGTCACATTTTTAGAATCATTCCATTAAGAGATCTTCCACTCGGGTTTTTCTCACTATTTATTAAATATACCCCATGCTTCCATTATAGATAAATTACAGTTAATGAATGTGCTATGTTTGCCCTTTTTTTAAATCTTTCATTCCCCCCCCCCTCGCCTCAAGTTCTCATTCCCTACAGATCCTCTCTTCCACATCCCAATTCTCTGCCTTCTCTGTCTGGTAAAATCTTACTCATCCTTCGGTGCTCAGTACAAAGCCAGCAAAGCCATCTGGAAAGACATTTTGGACTTTTCCTGGTGTATCTGCCTTGTCTCTGCATCACTGTCAGTCAACACTTTCTCCATCACCCTGAGTGCCTTATACATAATCAGACTGAAATAAGCAAAATTAACATTTGATGGGTTAAAAAAAAAAGGTTTAATAGTAACAACTTTGTGTGCTTACCTAAAACATACATACATCTGTGAATGCGTGCTAGTCTAACCATACCGCACGCCCTCCCTGCCATTAAACTGTCAGTTCCCCAGGCACAGTGGGCCTCTGACATCCTTTTGAAGTACATTTTGACAGTTTCAAAATATCTGCTTTTTTCTCTGCTGGAGAGCTTAGAGCACTAATTATCACACAGTAGGCATTAAATACTTAACTTGAGTGAATAACGAATAATATTTTAAGCCATTTTTTAAAAAATAAATATAATGGGTAAAAAGCCTCTTTTTTTTTTTGAGAGGTTTTTTTTTTTTTTTTTTTTTTTTCACTATAGGGCACGTGTGCTCGCCAGACAGAGAGACATAGAGACAGAAAGCGAAAAATCACCCCCCCAGGGGGGATGGTCATGCCGCAATCTCTTCTCCTCCATTCTCCTCTCGGGATCTTGGGCACGCACGCACACGCACCCAGCGTGAGTTCTAAGCCACCGGGTCTGGGACGCGAACTGTGGTTGACTACGTGGGAGTCCAGCGGCATAGCCATTATGCTAACTGTTGGTTCCCAAGCCTCTTTGTTTTGACTCCTCAAGTTGAAGGCTGATTGTTTCTTTCTAACTTTCTCAACTTCAATACTGCTTTTCCTCTTTCCTTCAATTTCCTACAAGGGCACGTGCACTTGCCAGAGGGAGAGACAGAGCAGTTGAGAGAAGAGAGAGGGAAGGAGAAAGAGAATTCACCCCCTGGGCCCCAATTCTTTCTCTTCCACTTTTGCATCCTGTTGGGATTTGGGGCACACTCTCACACACACATGCTTGGCATATTCTTCAAGACACAGGGACCAGGATATGAATTGTGGTTAGCCACGTGGAATCCGACTCTTTAACCACAAAGCTACTGGGCTGACCCAGCACTGTTTTTTCTTTTAAGATCAGTTTTCTCATCTTTTAATAATTTATTTGCTCAATAATATTATCACTAGATTTTTCTTGTCATTTTTTAAAAATAGTACTCTGTAGATTTGACCAGTGTACCCAGTGAGGAGCTGATGTCTCTGGTCTTTTGTGCTCTAGTCTTATTGACACCCAAGGCATCACTTGCTTCCTTCTGGGGACTTTCAAGGTGATGCATGAGAATTACTAAACGCCCATGTGAAGAAAGTCTGTCCCCTGGATGACAAGCTTTCCTACTCTGTGCTGTTAGTAACCCAAGAGTAGATTGTCCTATTCACTCATAATCTAATCCTGACATTTTCTTCCTTCTTCCTCTCAGTACCTAAATTGGGGCCATTTTGAATCTCATAGACCTAACTCCTGAAGACTAAAAAGAAGAAGAGAAAGCTAAATCCCATTTCTTTCCCGTCACTATTTAATTTTATTTTTTAGTTTTTTCTATAAGGCATGGCCATGACAAAATCCCTTCTCCTCTCAGGATTTTGGGTGTGTACATGCGCACACATACATGTCTGGCATATTTTCTAAGCCTTAGGTCCAGAACTTGAACTGACACTTGGCCATATGGGATCCAGCTGCCTTAACCACTGCACCATCCAGTTGGCCCACTGTTTATATTTTTTAAAGCCATCTTGACTAGTACATAGCAAGGAAAGTATTGACAAAATGACAAAAATGTAGATTATATTTGTATGTCTTTTATCTAGTATCCTCTGTTTCTCATAAGTGCTATGTAGTGGATGGTTGTTCATTTAAGGTGGTTAATGAAAATGGGAAGACAATTACCAAGAGGACAAGGATAACTTCTGCCTCCCCTGAAGCTACTCACGGTACCAAACGACTGTAAGAGAAGCATGCAGCCATCACGAGTCCAGCTTCACGTCTCTCCCTTGTTTGTTCGTGAACTGTCAGACCCTCATTAGTCCTGTTTGCCCCTCCATATGGTGATGGCTGGCTGGCAGGGATTTCACCAGAGGCAACAGATGGGCAAGCTATTCTGAATTATTTTGATGACGACATTTAATTTTATAGTAATAAGATTGGGTTTTCCCCATGTAAATTCCTTTCTTGCCATTCAGTAGTTGCGGAAGAAGTGTGGGTAGATTTCATCTTGGATAGTCTATATTTTTAAAAAGTCCAGTGTCAGCTATGCTTGTGTCTTCCAGGTGGCGAGACTGGCCTGCAGCCTTGTTTTGACACCATTACCTTGGTGGTCTCGGATGGAGAAGCTGGCCCTTTTGTCAATGGCTGTTGCTACAATGGACCTAATCTATCTGTTCCTGGTCACAAGTCCTTTCCAACCTATGATCTTAACATCACAATACATCCAGTAGACAACCAACCACCTTCAATTGCAATAGGTGAAAATATTTTTTTTGTTAAAGAACTGTTATCTTACCTTGCATCATACCTGTGGTTCAGTGAAATAATACAACACGTATAATTTACTGTCAAAATAGAAGACACCATACAGAACTGCCCTCCAATAATTACCTTAATCCAAATTTGTGATAAACTCCAACTCTATAAAGATTACAGGACAAACGAATTTACTTAATTAAATATTAAGCATTTCTATCTGGAGAAAGAATGTGTGTGTGTGTGTGTGTGTGTGTGTGTGTGTGTGTTGGGACAAGGACATTAGAATCCTCAAATATTTTTGTTTTATTTCACATGGGAAAATACCATTTGCCTGCCAGAGAGAGAGAGAGTAATTTATTTTATCCATAATAATTTCTATTAGAACAGAATGCGTATACCAGAGAGACCATTTATATACATTTAACCTTATTTGCTTTTTAGAAAGTCATCTCTTCATAGGCATTATGTATATGTTCTGCTTCTCAGAAAAAAATACAAGCATATGTATGAATGTTATTGTAATTTGCAAACTATCTCCCAAGCAATGTTCTGGAAAGGAAGCATTATCCCAGCAGAATAATTAAGCACCAAGGCACGAAAAAAATGTTCGTTACGAGCAATTCATAATAGCTCTCAGGCAATTAACGCTCTGACAAACAGAGGTAACAACTGATCTTGAAGAGTACATAAACTACATTTAGTGGCTTATCATTAAAACAGTTTGGCAATTCTTATTTTCATTTGTCACTTCTATAGAGACACAAGGGAAATCAGAGTTCCTTGAGAATGACTAAAGGGCTGTACTGGCACATTTAGTATTTCTGCTGTCTTTCCATTATTGTTTTGCTCGTTTGTACAAGAAAACAAATATAATTCCATAAGTCAAATTAAATTCCAGCCATTACCCCTGAATGTTTTCACTGTAAAGGAAATGCTCATCTCCCATGGAAATGTTTTGCACAGGGGAGACTCCTCAGAGTTAGAATTTCATGATTCCCTTTTGTCCTCGCCTTTTTGCTTGGAGGAATTCATGCTAAGTCATTATTGTGTTAATATTTGCATGCAGGTACCAAGTTCATTGTAGATGAGGGCTTCTCAGCAGCCCTCACCGTTAACCATTTGTCCGCCACTGACCCTGACACGGCCACAGATGACTTGGAATTTGTTTTGGTTTCTCCTCCCCAGTTTGGCTACCTTGAAAACACACTTCCCTCTGTAGGTTTTGAAAAAAGCAACATGGGCATAAGTATAGGTAAGTCATGGTTTCACGGTCAGCAATGACTCACCTATGTTTACAGATGTGATTGGCCAGATCACGCTTACTAACTGGACAAGGGCTTGCCAAATGTTTGAAGCACCATATATATTTGAGGCATTATCGTTATGATTACTGCAGCTGATATTCTCAAACTGCATTATTATTATTATTATTATTATTTTGGAGAGGTTTTTGCTATAGGGCACGTGCACTTGCCAGACAGACAGAGACATAGAGACAGAAAGCGAGAAATCACCCCCCAGCAGGGATGGTCACACCGCAATCCCTTCTCCTCCATTCTCCTCTCGGGATCTTGGGCACACAGGCACACGCACCTGGCGTGAGTTTTAAGCCACTGGGTCCGGGATGCGAACCGTGGTCAACTATGTGGGAGTCCAGCGACATAGCCATTAGGCTAACTGCTGGTTCCCTCAAACTGCATTATTTTTCATTTCATTTTTATTGACTTTCCCCATGGATGAGAATTTAATACAAAATAAGTGGAAATTTTATGTATAAAAATATAAGAATACATATTGAAGAGAGAATGTTTTTAAAGGTCCTCATAGCAACCAGAATATTGTGATAGAATGAACTTGGTGGGAACCAGCAGGTCTCATTCTCATGATCTTTTAGCCTTTTTGATAGATATTGACGGAAAATGTTAAAAAATATTATGGGCGGGACCAGCAGTTAGCGTAATGGCTATGTCGCTGGACTCCCACGTAGTTGACCGCAGTTCGAGTCCCAGACCCGGTGGCTTAAACTCACACTGGGCGTGTGTGCATGTGTGCCCAAGATCCCAGGAGGAGAATGGAGGAGAAGGAATTGTGGCGTGGCCATCCCCCCTGGGGGGTGATTTCTCGCTTTCTATCTCTCTGTCTCTCTCTGTCTGTCTGGCGAGCGCATGGGCCCTATAGCAAAAACCTCTCAAAAAAAAAAAAATCACGGGCAAAAGAGAGAAAGAAAGAGTAAAATGCTAAACACAAGTGATGTTGATTTTGAATCTCAGGTACTTCAATATTTATAGTCCTTGTGCTGTAGGCAGAAACGGAACAACCAAAACAAAAACAGAAAAAAAAAAAACCTAAATCTTCGAGTTTAGAAGTAAACGATCCTCCAAGAGTTGTAAGGTTAATATGTAATAAAAATGAGAAGCTCAATGTTTTTAATAAGTAACGGATTGGCCATTGCTGAATAGTGACTTAGTAATGAAAAGATTTGTAGAAAAAGGTGACCAGGAACAAAACATGTAAAGACAAAAAATATATGAAGAAGTTAATACTTTCAAATAATGTCAAATGGTTGGGACCGTGACTATGATAATTATCCAGAATTAGTTATTCTACATTGTTTTCTTATACTTTAAAATCATACTATACTCCCATGACTATGTTCAAGTACTATGTGTTAGTAAGAATATTCAACAATAAAAAAGAAGCAAATTATTCTCCAAGTCCATTTTGAGCCAAATCCATTTTAAATATGAGAAAGATTGGGTTTGAGATGAAGTGTATTAAAGGGTACTCCATTTCTCCTGTGACTTAATGCACAATTTAGAAATTTTTTCTCTTTTGATTTAAGGCCATGTCAAAATATCAAAATCAGCTAATTCCACTTAACCCGAGCAGTTGCCTAATATGTATGTCAAGTGGACAGATGATTGATGGCTCTGGTTTTGCCTTTATGTGAAAGAGGTGGTCTCTTTCTTGTCCAAGCAGGCCAAGAACTACTAATGTAGACACACTGATTTAATCAAGGGAAGTTGTCTGTGACTTTCACTTCAAGGATCTGAAGAGAGGTCATGAAATCTCTGTGCATCCTGGTTAGCAGTTATTGCTCTCCTGTTCTCCTTCCCACTTTTTTTTTTTTTTAAGGTGCTATAAGGTGCATCTGCTTGCCAGAGAAAGTGAGAAAGGGCAGAAGACAGCATTCCACAATCCATTCTCCTCCTGGGATTTTGGACATGCATGCAGAAGTGCCCAGTGTGTTTTTCAAGCCATTGGATCCAGGACTTGAAACATACAGTAGTCATGTGGGATCCAGTCACCTTAACTACCATGCCACCAGCTGGCCTGCTCCATGCAAATTTGAATTCTTCCCAATTGCTGTGGTTTGGATGTGTTCTCCAAAACTCATGTGCTGGAAACTTTCTGCAATTTTAACAGTATTAAGAGGATAGAAAATTTACAGACCAGCAGATGGCGTAATGGTTACATTAATGGACTTTCAGGTAGTCAACTGTGGTCCTGGACTTGGAGGCTTGAAACTCACACCAGATCTGTGTGCATACATGCCCAAAATCCCAAGAGGAGAATGGAGAAGAGATTGCATCTTGGCCATCCTTCTGGAGCGTGATTTCTTGCTTTCTGTCTCTCTGTATCTCTCTGTCTCTCTGGTATGTGCATGTACCCTATAACAAAAATCTCTAGAAAAAAAGGATAAAAAATTTGATCTTACTGTAGTATTAGGAGGTGGGGCCTTTGGTAAGTGGTTAGTATTAGATAAAGTTGTCAAAGTAGGGTCCTGCAATTGAATTCTGGTGGCTTTATAAGAAGAGGGAGGAAGACCAGATCTGAAACACAGAGACACTCTTGGATTCTTGCCATGTGATGCCTTTCCTCTTGGGATTCTGCAGTCAAGAACCCAGCAAGAACCTCAGCAGATGCAGCTCCTTGACCTTGAGCCAAGAGCTAAATAAATCTCTATTCTTTTAAATTATCCAGTCTGTGCTATTCCATTGTTAGAAACAAGAAAACAGACTGAAACACTTATGCTCTATGGAGAGCTACTTCTATGTTGATGGTCGGCAGTGACAGCAACTCCTGATGGTCAACCGCCGTGATCTACTGCTTTGCTAATAGGTTATTATTGGGTTAAGGACTGAGTACCAGTCATTGGGAAAAAATATCATTCTTATTTCCCTGTATCATCTCTGTGCTGTAGCATCATTCCTGTGGAAAGACATGAAGGCTTTGCACATTAACTACGTACAGTCCAGGCATCTGAAAATAGAACCAACCACCGACCAGTTCACGCTATACGTCACGGATGGGAAGCGACACTCCTCAGAGATGCCATTTTATGTTCTAATCAACCCCACAAATGATGAAGTTCCTGACTTTGTGGTGCACAATATTACTGTAAGAAGCATATCAGAGTTTTTCATTTTCCTTTTATCATTTTTTTACTTTAATTTTTTCTACTTTATTTACATTGGTCCTGGTGCACTTGTCACATTAAATTGGTGATGAGTGGCGAAGGCAGTATCCTATGTTATGTAATGCGATTTCCTATAAAACTATTAATCTAATAATAATGATGGTAATATTTGCTAAGAAATAGCAACTGTATGTACTTACTAAGTTGTTTACCCCAAGCTGTTTGTGTGTTTTATCCTCCTCACAATATGCTCTTAGGGTGGTGAAGAAATTATTGCCACTCCATAAGTGCATAAGCAGGTTAACTAAATAGCTCAAAGTCACAGAGCATGAACGTAAGTCATGTAGAAGATTTGGACCCAGGCAGTTCGAATCCATAGCATGGTCTCAAGCCTATGTTGCAATGGCGAGGACTCTCGATTCACAATAACAGGCCATCTTTTAATATATAACTATTTCTAAAGATATGTGAGATTAAAAATACAATTTGGACCATTCTTTTTATGCGGTTTGAAAAATGTTTTTAATAATAACATTTATTAGTTTTTAATAACATTCAGATATATTTGGCTAGATTTTAAAGTGTCTCAGGCCTGCAGATGGCGTAATAGTTACACTGCTGGACTCCCACATAGGTGACTACTGTTCAAGTCCTGGACCCGGTGGCTTGAAAACCATGTCAGACATGAGTGCATGCATTCCAAGACCGCAGGAGGAAAATGGAGGAGAAGGGATTGTGATATGGCCATCCCCCCTGGGGTATGATTTCTCCTGTCTGTCTTACTGTCTCTCTGTCTGTCTCTCACTGTCTCTGTGTCTCTCTCTCTCTCTCTCCAGTGAGCGCACGAGCTCTAAGGCATAAACTTCTTTTAAAAAATAATAGTATAAAATAAAAAATAAAGTGTTTCATACTATCACACCTCAGTTAAGCCTCTTGAATTTTAAAAGATAATAAAAGAAGAAATTACCCCCCGGGGTGATGGCCATGCAACAATCGCTTCTCCTCCATGTTCCTCTTGGGATTTTGAGCACTCATGCACACACACCTGGCATGAGTTTTGAAACCCTCTGGGTCTGGGATTCGAACTGCATTGGGCATGTGGAAGTCTAGCAACATAACCATTATGACATCTGCTGGTCCCACAAATAGGTATTTTAAAACCAATTTTTACCTTATTTTTCACTAAAAATAATCAAATTTGAAATACAATTTTTTTTTTCTTTTTGGAGAGGTTTTTGCTATAGGGCATGTGCGCTTGCCAGAAAGACAGAGAGAGACAGAGAGACAGGAAGACAGAAAGTGAGAAATCACACCCCAGGGGGGTTGGCCATGCCACAGTCCCTTCTTCTCCATTCTCCTCTCAGGATCTTGGGCACACATGCACACGTGCCTGGAGTGAGTTTAAGCCACTGGGTCCAGGACTCGAACCGCGGTTGACTACATGGGAGTCCAGCGACGTAGCCATTACGCTAACTGCTGGTCCCAAAATACAAAATTTTATTCAATTTTAGTTTTCTACCAAATCTTAATGGTGCATGAGAGTCACCTTAGCATGAAATTTAAGAGCCAGCTCCTGTCTTCCCTGTTCTGCTGGCATGTGAGTTTCTCTGGAGAGTCCTTCAATAATTAGGAGAGAGAAATTAATTGACAAATGATTCCTTCTGTACCTACCTCCATTGTTGTGTGTGTATCTGAAGTTGGGACTTGTGGAGCAATGAGGCCCCTGGGAGGTCATCCTTGCTCTTCGTAGGAAGTGATAGTGTTTTTTTACCTGTTTGTTCCCTGGAGAAGCTGTTGAGGGTAACAGAAGTGGAGCCCATGTGTGTTATCGGCAGACCCAATTTTTAGCTTCAAGTGACTTAAAAAAAAATTAGCTTTTTTTGTGAGAAGATGCATTTATTTCGTAGACAGCTGGCCTTCCATCAATTTGTGCTGCAGAGATTTGAGGTTTTTGTTATCATAATCCATTCCAAGTTTGTCTGCTTGTACGCATGTGTATATTGATCTGAGCTTTTTAGTGTCACAATCTCAAGAATCAATTCAATCTGCTTAAAAGAATTGCCCTTTTTTTCCCATAAAATTTCCCAGTAATCTTGTAAATGAATTTACCATTTTATCAATGAAAAACTTTGTCATACAGTGAGTGAGTCAGGGAAAAAAAGCTTCAGTCAAGCTCAATGAAGAATAGTTAAAATATATTTTTAAGTCTCACTATTAAAATTCTTAGAGAAAAGGGGCAAGTTGCCCCTATATAAATATTGATGATTTCATAAGTATATCATTATAAATTAAATTGTGATGTCACCTTAGTCCTTAGTACGTAAGGCTAGATAAAAGAAAATCAACCACATTGTATCTCCAATATTATTTGTGGTGTTTGATTCTCTTTCATACAATTTCGGTAAAAAGTGGTTGCAGGAGGGCTCCCTTCAAAGTCAGTAAGGGAGCCTGAAAGGAAAGGGGGTTTTCCCAAATCGAAGCCATATGTATCCTTCAAGGCTTAATCGCCTCCTCAGTTAGAAAGACATTCTGGTCTCATTTACCCTTTAAGGCTTTTTGCTAGTCAATATGTAGCAGTACCAAACATTTTTTCCTTGCATTATAATATTTTTAATTGTCAGAGGGCTTAACTCTCCAGAGAGAAAGAAGAGAAAGAACTCCAGTGGAGCATGGGAATGCTGCCATCCTTTTCCCTCCGTTTTTCCATCCTGTCAGGAGTTTGGACATGCGTGCACATGCACTCAGTATGTTTTTCAAGCCACTGGGGCTGGAACTTGAACCTTGGTTGGCCATTTGGGATCCACCTCCCTGCGTACTGGGCTTAAGCATTACGCTGCAGGGCCACCCAGTGCTATGGTTGTCAATAGTCAGGCTTTCAGTCTCACCTGACTTGGACTCCTGAGAGTATCTGTGTTCTCCACAGCTTATAGCACGGTGACATTGCAGATTACCAGTGTGCATGTGTGGAATTGATACACTCTTATTATTCAGATCTTGCTAGATTTTAAAACAGGAAACACAATAGTTTCTTTCTTCCTTCTATCCTCATCATGAGAAAGGAAAGATCAAGACAGCTAAGTACTGTATGGTCAAGTTCTAAATGACTAACTCCTACACAAAATGGTAAGCATTCAGCTCTCTTCAAGCCCACAGGATTATAAAGCCTGAAGTAGGAGAGTGAGAAGGGTGGTTCAGGAAGGTTGGAGGTGTAAGGACTGGGGAGACGTGAGGGACCCAGAATGAAAATGTTCACTGTTATGTATCCAAAAGCATCCTTCTCAATTGTTGATTGCCATGGGATGTAGAAATGTTTAGTACAATAACAAAACATAAAAACATCAAAGTGTGTGTAGTAGAGATTTGTGCTATTTCTAAGCAGTTAGAAACATCAGAATTATAGAAGAAATGAGGTCCAGAAGGCTAAAAGAACTGATTGGTATCTAAGAATGAAAGTTTAGATTGAGTGTTACAATCCTGTGATTTTCAGAAAGCATCATTTGGTTGCTTTTTCACCCAACCATTGACTTATAAACAATACATATTTTTTTAAACCATGTGTCCTTTCTTCCTTAATCGGAATGAATAAAGTGATTTTAAAACCTTCAGAAAAAATGTGAAGAAGACTGATTGATTTATTTTTCTTTTATTTTTAATTAAGCCAGCAATCTTTTTTTTTTTCTTGGAGAGGTTTTTGCTATAGGGCACATGCGCTCACCAGAAAGACAGAGAGAGACAGAGAGAGAAAGCAAAATCTCCCTGGGGGGATGGCCATGCCACAACCCCTTCTCCTCCGTTCTCCTGTCGCGATCTTGGGCACGCACACACACTTGTTGTGAGTTTAAACCACCAGGCCCAGGATTTGAACTGTGGTCGACTACATGGGAGTCCAGCGACATAGCCATTACGCTAACTGCTGGTCCCATAAGCCAGCAATCTTTTATTAGGACTCATGACAAGAAAGGACTTCAAAAGTCATGGAAGGTCTGATCCCATAGGACAGTGGTAAAGTCCTATGCATAGAGAGCCAGATTCCACATGGCAGATTGTGGTTCAAATCTGGGCCTCAGCAATTTGAACAACACACTGGGTATGTGTGTGCGTGGGAGGGGAAGTGAGGGGTGTGTGTGTGTGTGTGTATCCACTCATTGGAGGGTGCTCTCTCTCTCTCTCTCTTTATGGTAAGTGCATATATCCTCTGGCAATTAAAAATGTTTGTGGAAAAATGAAATTAAAATACTAGTTTATTTGGATGTAAAAAAACCTTCAAAATCCATGCATAATTTTTTTCATAAATGCATTTTTCTGTGAACTATTTGAAGACACCCCCCCCACATGTGCAAGTCTCATGGGAAATTTGAAATAGGATATCTTCAAATGGTTTCTTCTGAGCAGTTTGCCAAAAACAAGACAAGACATATTTTATTTCATGTGCAGCAGATTTTCTGACTTGTTCAGGTGTGTGAGGGTGGGATGAAGGAGCTGGATTCTTCCATCATCCATGCTGCTGACCTGGATACCCCCAAGGATTCCTTGCTGTTCAGGATCACCCATAGGCCCCGTCATGGCCTCCTCATCGCCGGGGTGTCAGGTGAAGACCTTCCTCAGAATAAGCAGCCCGCCAGTCCTGGACAGAAGCATGAGCTTGTGCACAACTTTTCTATGGAACTTCTTAAAACCGGTATATCATGTTCCACAACCTTTGTTGTGGTTGATTTAATAATTTACCCCATGTGCAGGTGTGAGTCTAAAAGAGTCAGACTTGTAAATGCAGAGAGTAGAATGGTGGCTACCAGAAAGTGAAGAAATGGGGAGAGGATGAGGGAGATGTTGGTCTATGGATATGAAATCTTAGTTAGAAAGGAGGAAAACGTTCAAGAGCTCTAGTGCAGATCATAGACTAGCACTAATAACAGTGTACTGTATACTCGGAAATAATGATGTGAAGAAATACATCTGTCAATTAGCTTAATGTCACCGTTTACAATATATGCATATATAAAAATATGTTATTTATAATTTTGTCTATTAAAAGACTTTTTTAAAAAGTAATTTAGCACAGAAAAGATCATAATAAGCCACAGAAACAGGGGCTGGAAAACTAGTGTTCGTCTACTTTATTTATTTACCTCTCCAGGGTTACCTCAGGGTCTAGATTAATATAGAACCTGAAGCCCTAGCTACATATAGTGGGAAATAAAAGGAAATAGCATGTTTTCTTTCACTTTTAGAGTATCACTCAAAATAATATTTGCAATTTTTGGTATTTCAACTTAAGCTTCTCATGTCATAATAGAAAAATTTCTTCAGAGATTTGTCTGCTAAAATTTCCTCTGCTGAAACAAATATAGAACCACACATAATAATGACTCATTATTCTCCAAGGAGGTAATTCACTTTTGAGGGAAATGACATATTGTAAAAGCAGCCTGCATTATTTAAATGATCCTTTTTTAAAAAATCTATTTTATCCCCCTTTTCATATGTAAAAGTGCTTTTAGAAATTTGAGAAAAGTGTGTAGTTCTAGAATAACTGCCTACTCCCATCCTCCTTGGTTCTGCATAGATTTTGTTCTTTCAACTTGGGAGGTCCTTTTCCCTCCGTTGGAGAGCTAGCCAAGACTGCCTTCAGAATGCAGCTCTCTTTTACCTTCTTCCAGGGAGTCCACCCAAACTCTCCAAACCATTCCTTCTCTGGACTTGTTTCATCTTAGTACTTTTTAACACTTTTACTACTGTCTTTCCTTTTCTTTTTCTTTTCTTTTTTTTTTTTTAAGTTTATTTCTTCCATGGGCATGAGAAACAGAGAGAGAAAGACGGACGCTGAGAAGCATCTCTAACAGGGTTTTGATGTTGTAATCCACTAGCAGCTTCAGTCAGCCTGGGCGCGGTGAGCTCAGTGCACTCAGGGAGGGTTCCCCTCAGGGACGTTCCCATGTGGATCCGCGCTGCTCTGCCATCAGCAACCCCTCTACTGTCTTTTTAGTACTTTTTTCCCCTAGAGTGTATACTCTCTCTGCCCCAAAGGCTGTTTTGCAATAGATGCACAATGTCATCTCATGTTAGAATTTGAAAAATCCATATACTTAGTTTTTGTTAATTACAAAGTGATAAATTCTAGAGCATAAATGGTAGGGCCAAATCAATAACCTCAAGTGCTAATAAAAGGACATATTGTTATAATTTGTTTTTCAAATTTAAGACAAAGGAAAAAGGAATATAAGTCAAATTTTACTATCAAGAGAGTATTTTTTTAAATAACAGTAGAGCCAGTAGGAGGCATAGAGGTTAAGGCACTGGACCCCACATGGCTAACTTCTCAGTTTGAGTCCTGGACCCAGTGGCTTGAGAAACACACCAGTTGTCTGTACCTATGTTTCCAAAGTCTCAAGAGGAAAGTGGAATAGAAGGGATTATGGGGAAATGATTTCTCTCTTTCTCTCTCTTTGTTGTGCATGCTCCCTATAACAAAAACAAAGCAAACAAACAAAAAATTACTTGTCATCAGAATAAATAATTATGATATACTCATTGTATAAAATTGGCATACTATGTGGTTATTTTGAGGAAAAAATAAAAATTGTTTATACATTTTCATTAATATTTAGGTGGCATTCTCAGATTAGATCGTTTTCACCTCTGTTTTATTTTTGATTAATTTATGGCTACATTTTTAAAAATCGTTAGTGTAGTTCCATAAGTATCTCCCCCACACAAACACACAAAACTTCTCTCATATTATGTAAGCTGTTTTTTTTCTTTCTTATTATAAAAATCTTTTTGCTTTTTAAATATTAATTGAAAACATAATTTTTAATAGCTAGTATGTTTTATTGTACAGACTCTTATTTTTAAACACCCAATATTTTAATATATTTTAAATTTTGATCCCTTTAGAATTTATTCTGGTGATTAGCTTTAGATAGGGTAATTACAATTTTTTATTAATTTTCTGATTTTAAGTAATGAACTTTCTCAGCTTTATTTAAGCACTCTGACCCCTTTGCTCTTATACAGTTTATTAAATAATGTAGCCTTCTCTCACTAATTTTTTTCTTTTTTTTAGAGACAGATTTTTTTTTTTTTTCTGTAGAGTACATGCACTTGTCAGAGAAACAGAGAGAGAGAAAGCAAGAATTCACTCCCCAGGGGTATGACCACACCACAATCCCTTCTCTTCCATTCTCCTCAGGATTTTGGGGAGGCACACACATGTGCCTGCCATGAGTTTTAAGCCACTGGGTCCAGGACTCAAACTGCAGTAAGCCATGTGGGAGTCCAGTGTCTCAACCACCACATAACCTGCTGGTCCCACCTTCACTGATTTTAAATAAGACCCTTATCAATACTAAATTATTTAAATAAAAATTTTTCTTTTTAAGGTTTTTGCCATAAGGCACATGTGCTTGTCAGATAGAGACAGTGAGAGGGAAAGTGAGAAATCACCCCGCAGGGATGGCCTGCCAAAGTCCCTTCTCCATACTCCTCTCAGGATTTTGGGCATGCATGCACATGTGTCCAGCATAATTTTTAAGCCGCCAGGTCCAGGTCTCTAACTGTGGTCAGCCATGTGGGAGTCCAGTGCCTTAGCCACCATGCTGCCTGCTGGCTCCTAAATAAAGAATCTTTAATGGGGTAAGGGGATGGCCTGTGTGTCCAATGTTCTGACAGGATGGAGACATGGAAGAGAAGGGATTGCTGTGTGATAATTCCCCATGCAGGGTGCTTCTTCTCTCTCCCTCTCCTTCTGTATGTCTGTCTCTCTCAGGCAAGCACACATGCTCTTTGGCAATTACAAATTGTTTTTAGGGGCTAGTGGGTGGCATAGTGGTTAAGGTGCTGGACTCCCACATAGCTGATCATGATTTGCGTCCTGGACCCAGCAGCTTGAAACTCATTCTGGACATGTGTGCATGTGTACCCAAAATCCCAAGAAGAGAATAGAGGAGAAGGGACTGTGGTGTGGCCATCCTTCCTGGGTGGGTGGGGGACATGATTTCTCACTTTCTCTCTCTGTCTCTCCAATGAGTGCATATGCCCTACTGCAAAAATCTCTCCAAAAAAAAAAAAATTGTTTTTAAAATAGGCTAAGAAGTCACTCTTTAACTTTATAAAACAAGTTTAATTTTACCCTACTACACTGATTAATGGACTCTTGCTAATAGCAATGCCTTGTCAATGAAAGCAGATCATTTGTGATGTGTCTTGGGATGGCCCCAATATTAAGGAAGACCTGCGTGTCTCTCTTGTTTCCTCCTTCCAGGAATGAGGTTGATGTATGTGCATGATGACTCGGAGAGCCTGGCCGATGACTTTACAATCCAGTTGTCGGATGGGAAACACAAGATACTTAGAACCATTTCAGTAGAGGTCACCCCCGTCAATGACGAGAAGCCAAAGCTGAGCAAGTAAGCTACCTGGGAAGAGATCCTTTCAGATTCCTACAAAATTCTGTAATGTCTGAAATATTAGGTACAAAAGTAAGGTGTGTCCCCCAAAGATAGAAGTCTGTGATGGTGCCCGTCTGTCACAACTTCCCCTTCTCCCTCAGGCACCTGGAGCCTTTGGCACAAATGTTAGTTAACGTGACCTTTCCGTAACAATTAGTCTTCTAATTCTTTGCTTTTCTTCTAAAAGTTCTAAATGGGGGGAAGCCAAAAGGATGACTGAACATCCAGTATGGAATGAATAGTCTATTAAATATCTAAATACGTGAGTACACACATACACACACACACGCCGACACACTCACATGCCTACACATATATAAACCAAATTGTCGCCAATATACAGATCCCGCTCATTTGTAATATTAACTAAAGAAAGTCCCCACATGAATTTGGGCAAGCTTTTAACTAAGAGTGGCCAAGGAAGTACTATCAGGCCCACTTCTCTTTCATCTTGGTAATGACTCCTTCGCTCATCAGTCCACTGGTACATCCCTTATGTATCAACACCTCCTGCCACCTCATGTCACAATGATTGCTTTTTAAAACTATTTAAAATTTTTTAAACTCCTATTAGGTGCACACATTTTTGTTTTTTAGAGAGATTTTTGCTATAGAGCATGTGTACTTGCTGGAGAGACAGAGAGAGACAGAGAGGAAGAAAGTAAGAAATCATCCCCCTGGGGAAATGGTTAATTGCAATCCCTCTCTTAGGATTTTGGGCATGCACGCACACGTGTCTGGCATGAGTCTCAAGACTCTGGGTCTGGCGGTCAGCCCTGTGGGAGTCCAGTGACATAACCTTTACTGTCTGCTGGTCTCAATTGCACACAATCTCAGCACCTTTTTTGTTAGTGCTCCGAGTTAGATCATAGGGTAGAGAATCTTCATCATTGTATTTCTAAAGTTCCAGTCATTTCTTTTATAATTGGCAGCTGCACTGAACCGCGTGGAGTGTGCAGAACTACGTGGAACTGTGGGAGGCCCTGCTCTTCCCTAGTGCTGGGTGTGCAGTGTCTGGCTCTCAGTCCCTCTTTGATGACTTCACTTCATTATTCAATGGGGCAGTAGTGGAAGCCATCAGATGTGTAGTCTGCGTTTTTATCAGAAAATGAACAATTCCTTGAAAGTGTATGAGCCCCCAAAGTGTCCTCCACTCTGCAGAAAAGGGGGCCTCAGACAAGTCCCTTCCTTACCCTGCTAGCTGTCCTGTTGTCCCCTTATGGACTATGAGCAAGGTCCTTAAAACTCAGCATGGCAAACACAGAAAATGGTTTTGGGGGGTCACAAATCAGACATGAGTGGACTAATAGTATTTACTAGAAATGTCTATTCACTTATTCCCTAGATGGAATATCAAGTTGATATAGCCATTATTTGTAAATATAAAAATATGAGTGATATTGAAGTACTATAAAACCTCCTTTCTGATGACTTTATTTAAAAGGGAAGGAGAGGGATAAAAACTGGTGTTTATTGAGTACTTATTATTTGAAAGATACTGTCTCCAATTTTTCACATATATTAGGTTGTCAAGAAAGTCATGATGTACTTTTCTGTTTTTTTTTTCCTATCTTTTTTTTTTTTTTTAAGAGAGATTTTTACTATAGGATATATGTGCTCACTGGAGACACAGAGAAGGGCAGAGAGATAGAAAGCGAGAAATCACACCCCGGGGGGTGGGGGGTGGCCACACTTCAATCCCTTCCTTTCCATTCTCCTCTTGGTATTTGGCACACACACACACACACACACACACACATACCCGGTGTGAGTTTCAAGCCTCCGGGTCAGGGATTTGAACCACAGTTGGCCATGTGGGAGCCCATTATGCCATCTTCTGGTCCCTTTATTTTTCTGTTTTTCTATGCAGAAATGTGCCATGACTTTCTCCACAACTCAATATTTCATTAGATTCTCACCCAAATTGTGGAAAATAGAGATGATGTTCACGAAGAAAACCTGAGAGCAGAGAGGTAAAGTAGCTCACACAGGCACTCATTCGACTCTGTCTAAAGTCACATTCTCGCAACTACACCTCCTCAAATATAATAGCTACATTTACAAAATTGCCAAATCTCCTTCAGAATCCCTTTTTCCCCCTTCCTCTTTCCTTGTCTCCTACGAAAAGGAAGAGCTATTCCTCCTTCCTCCTTTCCTTGTGTCCTTGGGTGTAACTCCTCTTGCCTCCTCCAAGAGTGTGCTCTGTTCTTTTTGTCCTCCTGTGTCTTCAACCTCTCCCTTTTCATTCTCCTGCTAACAAGCACTGGGATATAGTCGTCAGTTCAGGGAGCAAATTCCGGCCCCCAATCGTCTTAGTGCGGCCACTGGTCACCTACTGCTTAGCCTGTCAACCTCTCTGAAAGTGAGGACAATCGTAGTGCCCTCTTCATAGGGATAGACAAGAATTGAAAGAATCCAGATGTGTAAGAGGGTGTGAAGACTGCCTAGGACCTAGTAACTGCTCCTGTTTGTTATCATAACTCTAAGCAGGCATTCTTATTCTAAAAATGCCACGACGGCCCACTCCCTCATTGTTTTCGCTGCCAAACTCTTTGCAAGAGTAGCCTCTGCCTGCTTCTTTCATCTCTGCCCACTACCTTCAACTTCTCCCCCTTTGCTAAGGCTGCTCACCAAGTCTATCGGCTCTTTGTATCTTCCTGGACCCTGTTAGAGCACTCGGCACCATTTCTTTGATAGTTCTTTTAGATGCTGTAGTAAACACTTTCGATCCCTTGTGTCACAGCCCACATTCCACCTCAGATTCTAGTTCTGGTTATGGTGGAGCACACTGTGCACGCCACACCACCAGGGTCTCTACCCAGGTGCCCGCATATATGGCTCTACTTTTCTGCCTCCGGGACTTCTCCGAAGCATGTCTAGGCAATTAGAGAGGACATTTTGGGTACAGCCCTCGCCTTGGGAACGAGTGGATATGATGAACATCCCAGCTTTCCATCCTTCAAGAGCACAGTTTGAGTCACATTCTGCATGTTTCTTTAAAAGATATTTAGCCAGATAGAGCCCCAGTTGCTCACAGCAGTAAAAATACTCTTTGTAGGGGCTGGCCCCATAGCACAGTGGTTAAGGGCTGTGCATTGGGAATCAGACCCCACATGGCCGACTGTGGTTCAAGTTCTGGCTCTTGCAACTTGAAAAACATGCTAGGCATGTGTATGTATGTGCCCCTGAATAGTGACAGGTAGAGCAGCAGCACACAGCAGTGCTGTCCATGGCAGGAGCCACACATTGCAGTGTGACCATGCCCCACTGAGCGATGCTTGCTTTGCTTGTTCTTCCTTTCTTTCTTCCTTCCTTCCTTCCTTCCTTCCTTCCTTCCTTCCTTCCTTCCTTCCTTCCTTTCTTTCTTTCTTTCTTTCTTTCTTTCTTTCTTTCTTTCTTTCTTTCTTTCTTTCTTTCTTTCTTTCTTTCTTTCTTTTCCCTTTCTTCCCTTTCTTCCCCTTCTTTCTCTTTCTCTCTCTTTTTCTCTTTCTCTTCCTCTCTCTCTCTCTCTGATGGGCACATATGTACTCTGGAAATTAAAAAAACAAAGCACCTTTTTTTACTTTTTGCTCCTTTCTTTCTCATTTGCTTCTCCTGCTTCTTAGATCACTTCCTGAAGAAGTTACCTGCACCACAGTCCTTGTCCCGAGTCCCTTTACGGTAATCAGACTATGACACACTTCCTTCTTCCTTGGCTTCTCTGACATTTAATTCAGACACTTTTTCCTACCAAACTCTACCTTCCCGATCATATTGACTTCCCATTTTGATTAATCTGTGTCTATTATTGGCACCCCTAATTTCCATAACCCCTCAACCGACTATCATTAGCTTTCTAGAATACCAGAGTTAGCATTCTCCAGTGAGGAGGAGGAGGAGGGCAAAAGTCACCTCTACTGCCAGGGAAAATGTCAGTCCTGAGTAGGTAAAAAAACTCACTGAGTAATTTCGGGGGCTACAGAATTACCTGAACACACCAAACTCTGCATGGCATATTGTAAAGGGTACTGGAATACCTGTGGATAAAACATTTCATCTCTCTGCCTCTTTTTTAGAGAGGTTTTTTTTTTTTTTCCCTGC